TCAGCTTTCTGTGGCTAGGAGATAATCAGCTTAGAAGGAGGAAGGTTTCTTTAAGCTTATAATTCAGTCAATAGTCCTAGAAGTAAATTATAAAAGGTGAGTCATTTTGTAAACCTACAGATGTGGAGTGGATGGAAGAGGAAAGATACGTGTACCCGGTATAGCCAGGTGGCTAAGAGACAGCGGGTACCACAGGAGGCTAGCTGTGGGAGAGCAAAGCCTGCAAACCCGAGCACTTTGCATGGTAAGAAGAATCTAGGCCTGGAAGTGGCCCAGCCCAGCAGCTGCCAGGTCAGTGCTCAGCAGGAAGGATTTAGCTCCTGTCAGCAGGGCTCGGCCTCCTAATCAAGAAACAGCTGTCATTGCAGAGAGGTCCCTTGTCACAGCTGGCCCCCATGACCACCCAGCTGGTCTATAGCAAGGGCTCTCTGACTCCTGGAGGGTATGGCTCTCTCTCCCTTGCTCTCTCTCTCCATTGACACCTACCGCTGCAGACTGGACATGCTTGATAAAGGAAGACAACCAGAGAAGAAACCTCAGCTCATTTTTCTGCTGGGAAGAAGTCCAAGAGAGAAGTAGAAGGTGGCCACGCCAGGTGAGGTCGCGCATGCACCGAGTGCTTCAGCCCTCGCCTCCATCAGCCCTCGCCTCCATCTGACTCGCTGCCCTTTGCCGCTGTCCTGTGATAATCAGGAGCGGGGGTTCCTTGTCGCCTGTCTCTCAGCCTCACCCTGGTATGGAAGCAAACTGGCACCAGATTCTAGCCTTGCCACGAGTCCTGGGAACGACTTCAGCAGCTCTCCTCTCCGCGTCTCTGTGCCCTCGTTTGTCAATTAGGGATAATGCGCCCCTCCAGGAAAAAGTCACAGGGGAATAAAAATCAGCTGCTGTCCCCCTGTACCAGAGGTCACGCTGTGTTGCTCAGGACTTCAGAAGTGCTGTTTGGGGTGAGACGCTCACCTTGGCCAAGGGAACCTCCATGGAGTTCAGCAGACCTGGATCTCGGTCTGCCGTCTTGGCTTAGCACCTCCACTAGCATTTTCACTGGGTCAGTTCCTTCATGGGTGAATTGCTTGGAACAGCCTCAGAACACACTTCCTGTCTTGATGCAGCGATTAACAGCACCTGAATTTGGACAACAAGTCACAGAGCCCCTGGGCATTAATACTATGGCCGTGAGAACACCACCCTCAAAGATGTCCTAAGAATGAATGAAGGGACTGCAAAGGAAACACACAGGCAGCAAACCCCTTCCCCGTCCCCACGGCCGCTCCTCAGCCCAGCTGCCTCCATAGAGGCTCCACACAGAAGTGTCCAGCCCCCTCTGAAAGAGGAAGTGCTTTAAATCCTGCAGCAGACAGACACGGAGACACCAGGGGCGCAGGAATCGCAGATGACAACTTCATTCTCCGTCTCTCAGAACCTCAGCCACGCGAAGTGACGGATTGAGCAGCTGCCATTCCATGCTGGGCCGGAAGGGGGGGAAGCGGGGGGGGGGGGGGTTGATGACTTCAGACCCAGGGATTTGGGGGCCCACGTTTCCAGCAATGTCTCCACGAGCTTGGCGCCTTCTAGGCTGCAGTACCACTCTAGTCTGAGGAGCTCCAATGGGAAGGGTCCACAGGAATGGAGTCAAGTGCACATCCAGAGGCAGTGTGGCTTCTTTCAAGTCCCGGGATCGATTGGATCAAATTCAGGTCAGAACCCACGTGCAGCTTCTGCTGCTGCAGAGAACCTGCCTCGTGGGAGGTCACAGGTCGCAACGGCTACCTGTGCAGGCCACCTGCACGGTGCGTCGCAGTCCATGGGGCCTTGAGGCACTAGGAGCAGAGTTTCCCATCTCCTGGCAGCCAGGAAGCACCAGGAGAGGGGAGGGGCGAGGTGGGGGGGGGGGGGGGAAGAAACAAGGAAAGAGGAGAGAGAGAGAGAGCCAGGGATGTCTTTCCAGGACATGCCCTACGTCCCCCATGCACTGCCCCTCCAACTGCCCATCTGATCATGAATCCAACAATTGATGATTTCACTGGAGAGACCAGAGCCCTCAGAATCTACTCACCCCTCAACGATTGGGTCCCCCAGCTAACAACCAGCCTGCAGCCGATATTTCATATCCAAAGCATAGCCATGCCCTAATCTGAGGGAAGAAGAGCCCTGACACAGAGCAAACCCCCGGCCATGTGGATAGAATTCTGGTGCAAATCACCTTATAAAATCTCAGAGCAAAGCAGAGCAAGAAAGAAGAACCTAGATTCCCAGCCATGCCTCCCTCCCACCCCAACCCCATCACCCGCCTCCATCTGTAGGAAAGTTCCGGAAAAGCAGCACTCCACCCTCCCACTGCAAAGCAAAGGGGGAGAAGCTGCTAGCCAATAGGAAGAACTGGTGGCAGTGGCCACCTGACTGAGCCCAGGGCCCAGATCCTGCCCACGGGGCTCTGAAGTGACATATTCATGCCCCTCTGTGTCTGGGGCCGGTGGCCCCTCTCAGGGGCTCAGTCTCGGGAGTCTGTGGTGTGAGCCACAGCTGCTTCCAAATATTTCAGGAGTTCGGGGAGGGAAGTGAGACCCAGCAACAGCACCACGTGAGCTGCAGAAGCGTGGAGATCCGTTCCTCACCAAACCTCTCTTCCTGGAGCCATGCGGCGCGAGCTTCAGGATCGGCTCGGAGCGTGACGCACACAGTCCCTGACAGGGGAACTTCCGGTCTGCACCCCCAGCCCTGAAGGCCACTTTTTATCACCTCTCCTGTGCAGTCATTGTTGGCAAAATGTTCCGGTAGATTCCTTTAGGACACACTTGCTCTGTGGTCCACGGCCAGTCCCAGCTTCTCAAAGTTGCGCTGTGAACACGAAGTGGAGTAAGGAGATCCTGGCGCCTCTGCTGCCTGCCACGGAGCCAGGCAGACGGGAGACGGTGCAGCCCAGCGAGCTCGCCATCTCCATCAATCTGGGCCCAAAGCTTGCTGGCAGCCATGTGAGCCCAAAAGGGACCAACTGGCATTGATCTGGCCCCGTGGCTCTGTGTACCGGGAGGCTGTCATGCTCACACACAGGGCTCCGGAGATCTCTCAATCTACCCCCCCTTCCTCTGCCCTCTGCCGCCACTGAGCTGCCTCCCACAGAACCATCGCCACCCCCTCTCTGGATTTCCCCCAGGAGCCTCTGTGTCCACCCTCCGTCCTTCCCCCAAGGAGCAGCGCACTCTGTCTGCAGTGGAAATCGACCACATCAACCCCAGTGGTTTTCTTCCATGATCAAGTCCTTGGCCTCTCCTGGTCTACAGGAACAGGACACGGTCCTCCGGCCTTCATCACCGCATCTCCCCTTCCTTTGTGTGTCTAAGTAGATGGAACATCCGAGACCTCCGCCTTGCCAGCTCCCCACCTGTCATGAACTGCTCTGGGTCTTCAGGAGCCCAGTGAGGCATCCCCCGACTCCACTGAGCTGAATCCCACTTCCCTGTGCGTCTCCTTCAGTGTTAATCACACTTGGCTCTACTCGAGCCCTTAAAAGAAGTCTCCTCGTCTCCCCTAGCAGGTGAAGGAGTTCCCTGGAGGCAAGGGCATAGCTGACCACCCCTGTTGGAGAGCCACGGCCAGCAAATAATCGTTGGGTGGCACAGCATGGCTGAATCCCTCCGGGTGGTCTTCCAGCTGTGTTTGGTGTCTCCCCTTCTACTCCCCACCCTGCCATGTCTGAGGAACACCGACGTGCTATCTGATTGGCAGAGTAGCAACTCCACTAGAGTCCAGAGTGGAGGAGGGGACACCAGGACCCAACAAGCCACACTGCATCCTAGGTCCCAGGTCTGGGCAGGGGACCAATGGTCCACTCCACTGAGTGGAATTTGTAGGGAGGGAGGGGGCAGAACCTCAGAGGTGCTTGATCAGGACTGCTGAGTACATCTACAATTGAGCAATCCGGTGATCAGATTGGTGATCCGGTTGCCATGGTGACTGGGGAGATGATGGACATCCTCTTGGACAATTGTCAGTGGTGGTGCCTCTGGGCTGCACCCTTCCCCCAAATCAGGGGCAGGGCTAACCCCACACCCAACCAATAGAAGTTAAGGGTAAAATGAGAGCCATCTGGGCAGGAGCTTCTGTCCTCTCTCTCTCCAGTAAGAATTATAAGGGAGAAACGTGGAATTTGGAAGCAAAAGTTCCAGCCTGAGTTATCATCCTGATGCTGAGAGCTGGGTATCCTTGGACAACTCAAGTGACCACTCTGGGCTTTGGTTTCCTCAATGAAGAATACGGTAACCAATCCCAGCCTGGCTTACGTGGCTTCAGTCTGAATGTTAGGTTGAAAATATTCCTAAAACATGGCTTCCAGCTTACCATGGCTTGACTCATGATGTTTTGACTTTATAATGTATGAAACTGAGCTCAGGAGGCTGAGATCAGAAGATCACGAGTGCAAGTGTAGCCTTGGCAAAAATAACAACAGCCTGTCCGAAAGCAAAACAAACCAGATGTTCAGTCAGAACCATCGCAGCCTCTTCCTGGCAGCGATGTTCAGTTTAATGCTTACTCAAAGGTTCACAAGCACGTGAACATTGTAAGCAAGTGATCTGAGCATCCAGGTCACTGGGCTAACCCACATCCTTCAGTTAGGTTAGATTATATTCGATGCCATTTTGATATTTAATATATCCAACAGATGTGTGCAACTCCATGGCAAGCTGGAGGTCTCTAGACTCTGTAAGTGTCGGTTGGTTCAGACATCAAAGGCTCCTAGTGTGTGATCAGGCCATTTCCAGGGATGTTCAGAGGGTCAAGAGGATGCTGGCTTCCTGCTTTGGATGATCCAGACCAGAGATGTGTTTCCTTACATCAGAGCTTAAGGGCTGAGGGTCCTCCAATGCCAGCAAACTCTCCCCAAACCATCACACCCACAGAGCTGCTCCTAACAGGAGCGCATGCCTGCCCCAGGGTGGTCCTATGGCCTGCTTCATGGAGTCAGGGGTGCAGGACTCATTCCTGCCCGGCTCTCCCTGCAGGTGGCATCCCCTTCATCCTGACCGGTGAGTTCTTCCAGCAGTCACAGAGGCCAGCAGCCTTCATGATCGCAGGCACCGTCAACTGGCTGTCCAACTTCGCCGTGGGCCTCCTCTTCCCCTACATCCAGGTATGGCTGGCAAGAGGCTGCTTCTATGGGGTTGTCCTGCATTCCACAACCTGTGGAGGCCAGCTGGAAGGACAGAGCAGATCGATCTCCCCCCTCCCCCAACTTATACTAGTCTTCTTAACTAAAAGTCCTCTTCTCTCACAAGGCATCATGGCTGACACCTGTATTTATTTTTGTTGGATGCGGGGTTTGAACTCAGGGCCTAGGTGCTGTCCCTGAGCCTCTTTGTGCTCAAGGCTAGCACTCTACCACTTAAGCCACAGCACCACTTCCAGTTTTTGAGTGGTTAATTGGAGATAAGAGTCCCACAGGGACTTTTCTGCCCAAGCTGGCTTGGAACTACAATCCTCAGATCTTAGCCTGCTCAGTAGCTAGGATTCAAGGCGTGAGCCACTGGCACCTGGCCACATATTGGCTTTTGATTAATTGATTGAATGGCTGCTTCTAAATTATGACATAAGGCTGTATGACAGTAGCTTTGTTACTAAGTTTCTAGGCTATGCCTGGCTCACCCCTGACTCATGCAAAAACACTGATCCACAAAAGGTCCCTGAGTATAGGAGGATGTGTAGGAGGCCATGACCACATTACCAAGAAAGTCCTTCTTATCTGTCTGCCTTGCTCCAAGGAGCTGTTACACTTTCACCCACTTCCCATTCATGGGAGTAGGAAACAGCTGAGATTTTTGTTTTATCTAAATAGCAAGGTAAAAGTAGCACTGTGCCAAAATTGCCTTCTATTTTTAGCATCATTTTAACATGAATGCTATATTCTGAAAAAGAGATCTTTGTCTGAATCTGAGAAGCTGGAACATTTTCATGGCCATTTTCAATAACATAAAAGATGTATTTACAGAAGTGGTATGATTACCATTAATAGCTTTAAAGTCAGCTGGCAAAGGGAAGAGGCAAGGAGGAGGGCTGCTCTTCACTGGGCAGGGTGGACAATTGGTCCAGGAAAGAGCCTCCAGTACCTCCATTTTCAACTGGTCTGCATAGCCCAAAAACTGGGACTACAAACGTCACCCCTTTTAGTTGCCTTATCCAAAAACAGTGCCCACATCACAGGGTTGGCACAAGCACTGCCCATCAACAGTGCATAGCACAGGGAAGAGTCAAAAGCAATCACTACCACTACCTTCCGCCTCATCCTCTCTCCTCCCCAGCCCAGGCCACAGTCTAACAAGCACAGCTCCAGGAAAGAGCACAAGGCTGAGTTTTGCTCCAGCCTGCCATCCTAGCAGGGTGTTCAGGACAAGTAGCATAAATCACTGCAGTTTGATTTCCTCCTCTGAGAAGAGGGATGAACTAGACAGGAGCACACTGCCAAAGATCTGACTCCAAAATCAATAAGGGTAAACACTCAGTTCACCGAGTCGCTGGGTAAATGCTCAGCCCACTGAGTCGCTGGGTAGCTCCTTCTCACCGGCCCCTCCCTGAGCAGTTCTGCAGAGCCAACCATCAGGACTGGGGCTCTGCTCAGGGGTACGAGGTAGGAGCGGCGGTGAGCATGCATCTGCTATCGGGTCTATGGCCCTACAAGGGTAGTCACCTCAGTGTGGCAGGGTGTGGAGGTTCATCCTAGCAGTTTGTGCTGCTATACCAAAACACCCATTTGAGCTCCGTTTTCAGCTTCAAGACCACTATTATGGTACCCATTAGGAACCTGAATGGTGCTCAGTGCACTGAAATGCCAGGTCTTACATGTTAGCAACATATGAAAAAAACGGCACAAGAATTTGGATCCCACTGGATTCACAGATCCCACTTCTACTCCTCCATGCTACCCATGGTAGGGGCCAATGGAAGGCACCCACACACGCAGAGCAAAGCCCCTGCATGCACTACTCCAAAGGACTTGACTTTAACAACACTGCTATTCTTTTACAGCCATTGAATCTGAGTCAGGAGGAGTCTCAGATGTGTTGTCTGCTCAGTCTCAGAGTGGAGCAAAAGATCAAGCTCTAAATGCTATGCTATGCTCCAAAAGTAGGTGTGGATTTGTTTTTGTTTTTGTTTTTCAAATACAAGAATTAAATAGAATTGACTAAAAGCAGACAACAAATGTTCTTATGAGTTTCATCATCTCCTCTTTGGCTTACAAGATATTTGTCCTTGAGAGGCAGCTTCCCCAGGAAGCCTTTCACTCCTAAACCTTGCTGAGTGCCTCATGCAAACCAGACACCCCTCAAGGCCCAGAAGCAGCAGAGGTAACCAAGTCACCACAAAGCCGGAGGTCTCTCCCAGCTCTAATCAGGACACCAAGCAGCATCTGTATCTGCCATGTCTTTTTATTTTCTCTAGTCTCTCATTTGTGCAAGGTTGAGTCCAAGTGTCTGTCATGAGTTTAGATCTTTCACATATTGGAAAAACAAAACAGAACTGTTCTCTTGACCTGCTCTCTGGGAATATTTCTCTTCCTGTTGGCAACCCATGTGTCTTGTGGTGTATGGTGGAAGTGGGAAGAAAATGTGGGAAACATTGGATAGAAAGCTAAGACACCACACTTCCAATGTTATATTCTTTCTTTTGCGATGGTCCACTTTGAAATGCCAAATCTGCAACAACAACAGAAAAAATGTAAGCAGTGGTTGGTTTCAGGTTGTGTTGTCCCTGCCTTTCCACAGAAAAGCCTGGACTCCTACTGCTTCGTCGTCTTTGCGGCAATATGTGTTGCAGGCGCACTCTACTTCTACTTCGTCCTGCCCGAGACCAAGAACAGGACTCACGCCGAAATCAGCCAAGCCTTTGCCAGGCGGAACAAGGTGCAGGCCCCTGAGGAGAAGCCCGGCCCCGCCACAGATGGCAAGAAGGAGAACGGAACGGCTTCCACTTTGGACAACTGTGTCAAAAACAGGGTTGTTTGAATGGATAGAAAGGTCTCCCTGTTTCAACCAACCAAAGATCTCCCCATGTTTGGAGGACTCAAACGACTGAAGCCACACAAGCCTTTAAAAATGAGCCTTTCCGATCTCACACGACTGTCTCTTTACAGCTCAACCTCCCACACTCTTCTGGAAGCTGGAAAGAATCTCCTTATGTGCCAGTGGACCATTTGGGTACCATGGAGGCTGGCCTTCCGTGACATTGCTATGGTTTTGACGGGAAATTGGGGAAATAGCATTGGAATGTTCTCTAAAGGAAACCGTCTGGTCTGATGAGGACTCTGGGGGCTGGAAATTATACTTGGAAATTCAAGTCCCATCTGGGCCCTAAGGACCCTGACCTGCCCTCTGAAGCCTAGGCCTCCCGAGCCCAGTAGGAAGACTGTCTTCCTCTAGTAAGTGTCTTTCACTCACCTGTCTCTCTGCCTTGGGACCAGGCTTAGGAAAGCTCACGCCCCACCATCATCTTGCAAGTTCTGCCTTCACCGTGATGCTGTCCCAGGAGTTCCAGATGCTAGGCCTGGGCTATCTTGACTTTAGACTGTTATACACATATAGAAATTATCAATGTGTAAAAGGAAACAGGCATGCAAGTATAAGAACAAAAACAACCTTTCTCCTAACTGAGGCAGACACTACAAATTGAACTCTATCCAACTGAAGCACAATACTGAGAATGATTATGAGACTACGCCTGTTGTTGCTGAGAAAGAACATTGTGATTGATTGATGATGTCTGTCTCCAGTGCAGGAATGAAAGAATCAGCTTGTGTGCCACATGTCTGCCAGGTCTAGGAGACTTACCCTAAGAGGCAGCATACTGCTTTGGAAAACAGTGAGTTCACCAGCACTGGAAATGAGGAGCGGTGTTATTTGATATTTGGCTTGCCTCCAAACCCAGGCAAAATGCACCTGAAAAAAGTTAATAGGTAAATGAGAGTTAATGGCTAGATTGTGTGGATGTGTTTAGTGATATACAGAGAAAGTGGAGATTAGGTACAAAATTTTCCAGATACGAAAGTGTAAAAAAAAAGTAATAATAATAAAGAAATAAAGTGAAATCTTAACATTTGAATGCTCTTGTTCAAGTCAAATGCATCTTAGTCATGACTAAATCTAAACTCAATTTTCTTACAGGTTGTGCTAGGAAAGAGCCCCAGGAAAATGGGACTGTATGACCAAATCCAATTCTTTAGACACACGGCGAGTTATTTCTGGAGGCGCCCAGCTGTGTCCAAGTTGGAGTTATCATTCCCATAAACCTTGCTGGGCTCTTGGAGCTGTCCATGGTGCTGACCTGGACTTCAGGTCCACTAACATACTGTCATGATATTGTTTATGATGCTAGAGATGACTGGAAAGTAAATATTACTGGGCTCATCTTATGTGGTTCAAATCCAGTTCTTCCAGCTCTCAAACCAGCCAGGTTTAATACATCTGTCATTCTGCGCCTTTGACTCTGACCTGTGCACAACATTTAGGTATCAGTCCTTTTCACTGCAGCATCGTGACAACTGCTGACTACACATTGGAGTGTAGCATTAATGACGTTAGCAAATCACCTCCTGGCACTCCCGTGTTGTGTAATACTCTACTATGTTGTCTCTAGACCTGGTGCAAGTTTCTTTGGCCACTGAACTATCATACAATGTAAGTCAGGGAAAAGGACACACTCAGTATGCCCTAGAGCTTTCTTTCTTGGAAGGCTGTATATTTGGGCAAGTTCACTCTGGCCTTCTTGAAGATGTAAGGGAGCCTCGATCTGAATCACTTTCCAACTGATGCAGCTATGTAAGTGAGGCCAGGAGAAAGCAACCAAAGATCTGCTTTAAAAATCCCTCAGAGAATTACAAAAAACATGAATTATTGCTACTTTATGCCAACATCTTTTGGTATACTTCATTAGACAACAATAAATAACAGAGACTTGTTATTTCTGGTTACATTTCTCAGTAAAGTCTCAAGTCCTGGTTCAAGCTCAGACACCCTAAAAAGAACAACATTAAAATCCTCTGGATTACTCCAGCACTAGTGGGCTGGGATTGTGGCTACTTAGGAGACACAGATCAGGAGAATCACAGTGTTAAGCCCAGAAAAAAAGTTTATGAAATTCATTTCAACCAACTGGGCACACAATAATAAATGTCTGTCATCCCAGGTCTGCGTGAGGCTGAGATTGTGGGGATCACAGTTCCAGAAAAGAGAAATTTCCAAAAAAGAAAAATTTCATCTCAACGGAAAGAGCTGGGCACAGGTGTATGCATCTGTCATCCTACCTCATAGTCCAGGTCAACTCATAATAAAATAAAAATGAATTCTCTCGATGAGTAGCTCACTCATTCACCTCCCGAACATTTGTTAAGTGTCTGCTGCACACCTGTGTTAGGTACTAAGGAGGCAAGAATAGCTGAAGCCCAACTCAACCTTCAAGAATTTGGGAAGATGAGCAGCCATGGATGCCAACCCCACAGTCAGGGTTCCCTCCGTGGTGACTCTCATTCTCCTGCCGTGCACTGGGCAAAACCCAGCCACCCTTGTGTCTCTGGACCTCTTTCTGTCAATCCAGACTGTGTGCTTTGGGCTTTGGCTACAACAGAGACCTCTGTGATTCCTTGTTGGATTTCTTGCTGCTTGCACTTGGCTGTGGTTGCTTTGGCTTGTATTTCTTCTTGTCCGGGCTAAGATCCTTAACATAAGACATACCAGATCTGTCCCAGAGCCTGTGAGGTGCTCATTGTATGTTGACAAAACAAATGAATGTTGTGCTAAAGATAAGCAGATAGAGGAGCTGGGTGGGGATTTGTGTGGCTGGGTGATTAAGTCAGGCCGCTCTGAGTGGGAACGTGGGGGCTACATCTCCAATAAGGGTACGGATGTCATCAGATTGAGAAAAGGGTGAAGAATTCCAGACAGAAGTCAGAAGAGATGAGGTGAGGGTGCAATACTGCTGGGGGCCCCTGTGGTGTCTGTGAGGATGAAGGTGGAGGATGAGCTGGAAAAGTGAGTGCTGACACCACTGAGACTAAGTCCAGGACACACCGTCCACCTCCTGCTTAACACAGGCCTGTGCAGAAAACACCTGATCCTGCCCCTGCCCTTCATGGACTGGACGGTGAGGCTCGGGGAGTTCAGATCGTTCTAAGCAGACTTCTCATTTGGCTTCCACTGAGTGTTCCTTCACAGGTTGCAAACCCCAGAGAACAGAGGTCGCCTTGAGTGACAGAGACACAGCAGCCGCTTATGGCTGTAGACATTGGCTGTCATTTCCACTGTGATGTGGATGTAATTGCCCTTAGCACCTTCACTGTCCCCTGGCAAATTTGTACATTCAGTTCAGTAAATTTCCTCCCCGTTCAGTCACGGCACTTAGGGACTTCAGTTTGTCTCAGCCAAGAACTAGAGCTCAGAATTACCACTGGCAGAAGGCGGAGGCAGAGCCTGGGTTCTCAGCAGTAAGTGTGGGCAGCCAGCATGGGGCAGTATTTCAGAACTGAGCTAGGGGCCCACAGCTCCAGCAGTCCCATAACTGGGTGCCTCCTGAATGCGTGGAAAACTGTCCCAACAATGTGGCTCGCCTCAGCAGCTACCTCTGCCTCCACATTTGGCACACATAAATAAATAAATATTGCATTCTGTGACAAACCTGAGCGCATCTGAGAGAAGGTACCTCCAGAGCTACCCTGGAAAGTGAGGTGCTCATGTGGAAGCTGGCAGGCCTGAAGAAAAGTGACTCAACACAACAATAAGAAAGTTTCAGCACTTGACCAAAGACATGGTAGGGGGAGGGGTGGGGCTTCCTGGTGAGAGCCTATTGGCCGGTGCAAATTGTGTCAATCAGGAAATTAATATAAACCAATGGCCTATGAGAAGAGTGCCCCACCACCCCTCTCCCCCTTCCTCCCTGAACACAGGCTGCTTTCCACACATTCACTGTGACCCTGCCCAGCTGAGCAGCCTCTGGGTGAAGGAAGTGAGAATCAAAAGCCAGAGAAGAGAGAATGAGGACTTTGAGGAGCAGGTAAAGAAGTGATGAGCTCTTCCTACTTTCCTTCTCAAACCTTGACCCTCTGCTGTGATTCTAGAGCCATAAATGCCGTGACTCTGTGTCTACCTCCTGTGCTTACCACCACTTCCAAAAACATTCATGATCCAGCTAGAATTATTTTTATTTTTTTATTCTTTTTTTTTGCAATAGGTAGAATATCTACCCCTCTCACACCCAGAATTCCTAAGGATTTAAAATTGCATTTGTATTTTCTATTCACATTTCCTGCTCTCCTTATCACTACAGACTTTTTGAAGAAGAGAAGAGTTGATAAGCCATCTCCAGATTTCCTTGCAGGACACCAACTGTTAAATACAATACAGGAACGCATTCCACTTGATTCATATTTTGTTGGAAGAGACAGGGAAGAAATGAACAGATGTAACCTTTAGATAACTTACTCGTAGCTTAATCAAAACACAAAATACAGCCTGTCCTGGTGACTGTTAGCTGTGTAGGATTTAATCTATTCACTGGCAATGTGGGAGGTGTTTAATAAGCTTGTTACTGGTTCATTTATACAAGTCTCTATTGCAAGACCAAGGACACCATAGTCAAAGGCCATCAAATGCTTGCATTTGAAATGTGACTTAATATCAAGTAATAGCCAGAAGCACTCCGTATATTGCAGTGAGGGTTCAGAGAGTTGTGGACAGTTGGACAGTGGGCTGCTCTTTTTGTAGTATGAAGTTTCAGGATTTGACCCTAGCTCTGCTGTTTTCTGGCCTTGTAGAAGTTACATAAACTTTGTAATGCTCCACTTCTCATTTTGTGATTTCTCATCTACCTAGGTTAAGGGTTGATGGATGTGTTGATTTTACAAGGTAATATACTAAAAGATGTATCATAGTTCTCGATGTATATACAATCAAAGTGACAATATCACTAGATAACATAGTAAACATCCTAAGCCCAAACTCATCTTCATCATCATCATCATCATCATCATCATCATCATCATCATCCCTATCATTGCCATCATCATTATCATCACCATCATAGTAACCGCTTCTGCTATGTGTCAGCCTGTTCTAAGAATTTCCCATGATCTCACTTAATCTCCAAGTAGCCCAATCATTGTTAGCCCCATTTTACAAATGAGAGAACTAAGACAACTGGAAAACAGAAGCTGGGCGTTTTACCATGATCCTATAGCAAGACAAGGCCAAGAAGAGGCCCAAGTTCCAGGCCCTCTAATTCCCAGGCTATTACACTTACCAGCCAGGTGCCATCCCCTCTGAGGGGACACAGGTTTGGGATTAAATCCTACAGTCCAAAGTCTACAAAGGATTCCCAGTACTATTGAGCATAGGCTTTAAGAAAGGATACATGATAAAGTATATTTGGGAAATCTGGGTTCATCAGAAACCTTTCCAGGGCTGGGAATGTGGCTTAGTGGTAGAGTGATTGCCTTGCATGCATGAAGGTCTGGGTTTGATTCCTCAGTACCACACACACAGAGAAAAAAAAAACAGAAATGGCACTGTGGCTCAAGTGGTAGAGTGCTAGCCTTGAGCAAAAGAAGCTCAAGGACAGTACCCAGGCCCTGAGTTCAAGCTCCAGGACTGGCAGAAAGAGAGAGGGGAGGAGGGGGAGAGAGAGAGAGGGAAGGAAGGAAGGAAGGAAGGAAAGAAGGAACCTTTCCATCACTGTAACATGCCTGAGGTCACCAACATATAAAGAAAGAAAAAGATTTCATTTTGGTTCAGTTTCTGAGGTCTCCATTCAGGATGGGTTTGCCTCATGTCGCTGAGCCTGTGTTGAGATGGTGGACATGAGTGGCGATGCAGAGCCAAGCACCTCACAGCTGGAAAGCTGAGGAGAGAAAGAGAAGGAGACTAGAGTCCCACAATGCCCTTTAAGGACACACCCCCCCAATCACCTAAAGACTTCTCACTAAGCTCCACTCTTAAAGTGTCCACCACATAAAGCTGAGGGGGCCATCCCAGATTCAAACTGTAACACTGGTCAGGCAAGATGAGATCTGTGTGTTGTACATCTTTTGTGAGAGAGGAAGATGTTAATGAGCA